ATTTTAAAGTTGGATGTTAAAAGAAACTGGAAGAAGTTGTAAAAGACTAGAATGAGTTGTAAAATGTTAAAAAAGCTGTTAAAAATCACTTAATTAAATGATCATCTAAATAAATGTATAAAAAAGTAATTTTGGATATAAAAAAGAATTCATCTTTGTTTGTGTTTAAGGTGTTATATTATAAATTTAGATATATAATGTTATTGAATGTTATCATATGTAAATATATTTTTCAAGTCATTGTTGGAAGAAGCTGAAAAGAGTTAAAAAAAATTAAAAAGAGTTATAAGAAAATAGAAAGAGTTGGATAAAGTTAGATGTTAATTTTTCCAACAAAAAAGAACAGAACCTAATTTCTTAAATATCACATATTTATTTTATACTCTACATTTTAATCTAGCATTTCTAATTACCTTAGACATAGTTCTTATGCCTTAAATTATCTCCTTCATTGATTTACTTCACTTGTAATACCCTCGTGTTAATATGGAATATAAATGGGAGCTCAAAAGCATTGATAGTAGTATTTATTCTAAAATGATTCATCTTATTTTCGAGGAGTCATCTCTTAAAAACTTCAAGATTAAGCGTGCTTTACTTAGTAGTTAGTACAATTGTACAACGAGTGACCCATGTGAAAGTCATCTAGGCCTGCATAAATGAGGACAAGATGTATATAGGAAAGAATTGTGTTGGTTTGTGAGGTCAGTCATAATGTGACGGATGACAATGTGCCATTGATAATATAAGAAATCTTTCTAGACGGATGACAATGTGCCATTGATAATGTGACAGTCATAATGTGACAATGTAATGAGTGTGAAAGTGTACCAATGACAGTGTGAACTCTTATTTTGGTCTTGAGAAATTTATGATTCCTATTTTGGTATTTTTATAGTTTTTTATACTTATAACCTATATCTCCCATTTTTTTAAACATACACCTAAGGATGGGCTTGGTAGTAATTGGTACGAGAAAATTTGGGTCAGTTGGAGTGGCGACTTAAGCCCACAAGTATTTGGATGGGCTTGGCGCACTCCCATTCAAGAGATGCTATGTATTAGGAGCGACAAATTAATAAGTCGATCTAAAACCTAGGCTAAATAGCGTCAGTATCGCCCGTAGTTTGTAAAATATGCACCAATAGCAAACTTGTTTTCAAAACTTATTTCTAAAGTCCTTGTGGTTTCAAAACGTTGCACCCGTTTCTCCTCTGATCATTTTCTGCTCATTTTCCCGGCGTAGAAGGGGGCATTAGTGCATATTTTCTAAACCATAGGGGTACTGGTGCTGATTTTTTATTTCTCGCTTATTTTTTGTTTTTTTTTTTCAATTTTTTCATTTATTTGTTTCATTTATTAATAAAGGTTTTTTTAAAATTATTTTTATAATGTTCTTAAAATTTAAAGTTATTTTTGTTTGAAAAAAATCAACATATAATGCATCTGTACGTCTCAAATTAACAATCTTTATTTTTCCCGAAAAAAAGTAATTTTTTTGAGAACTTCAAAAAACAAGAAATAAAATAAGAAACAAAATAATACAAAAATTAAAATGAATATGATTTTTGGACATCTCAATTCTATGAACTTTTTTAGGCGTGTTCGAAAATTATTTTTTGTATAAGACTCTTTTTTTTCATATTTTAATTTTTTCATTTTGTTTTTCCATATTTTTATTTTTTTAATCTGGGTTTTCTTTATTCTAGGTAACAAAAAGTGAAAATGCTTAATTTGAGATAGATGTAATCTATGTTAATTTTTTTTATTTTTATTTCAAGCACAAAGAATTTTAAAATTTTAAAACTATTATAATAAATTACTCCGTAAAAAATTCTATGAAAAGGAAAGAGAGATAGAAAAATATTTAAAAAAGGGAAAACACAAATAATAAACAAAAATAAGGAATGATCATGAGTGCTCCCTATGATTTAGAAATTATGCGTCAATGCCCCCCTGGTCGGAATATGATTAGAGGAAATGTGGGTGCAACATTTTGAAACCATAGGAATTTTAGAGATAAGTTTTGAAACTAGAGGGGCTAAGGCGGTATTGATGCCAATTTTACAAACCACATGGGACACCGGAGCTATTTGGCCCTAAAACCTACTACAAAAATCTGAGCTGAGTAATAATTTTGTTACAATATTTTTTCCTAATTATAAAAATTTTGGAGACACCCTTAAATAAATCAATGAAATAAATATCATAATTATTCCCACGTGATCATATGAATCATAAAAATTTAAAACTCATTGCATACTGCAATCTGATCTATAAAGTCATTTCTAAGATCCTTTGTGTTAGACTCAAAAGAATTATTTCCACAATGATTAATCCAAACCAAGGTTAATGAAATTAGACCTTCACAAGGCCACTACAAATCCTAATGTTACTTTTATTTAACTAGAAAAAATATATAGTACTAACTTCTAATTTAACTTAATGAAATTTTTAAAAATGTTGAAAAGTAAAATATGAATGGTTGAAATATGATTAGAGAAAAAAAGAAAAATTATAGACCACAATCTTTTTATTTTATTAAAAAAAGTAAAGAAGTGAGACGATTCTTTAGAGACCGACTAAAAGAGAAAGTGAGGCGATTAATTCGTGATGGTGAAAGTAGTAAATTTCACCTTGACAAACTAAACTTGGTTGGCATGCAAGTCGTAGTATGAGGGTATTATCCAATGTGATAGTTTCTTTTATGCATCAGACATGTGACAACTTCTCTAAAGACTATATTAAGATTATACCGTGATTTACTTGTCACAATTCTAGGAGTACTTTTATATTTTTATTATTTCAAAATAGGACGTATTATTCCAACGTATAATAATAAAAATACTATATAATCCAAATTTACAATGCTACATTTTCATATTGTAATAATTCTATTTTAACAATAAAAACATATTATATTTATTTTAATGATAAAAATTTTATTTTACTCTTATTTTAAACAATTTCTTTTCCACCTTCTCAGATTTTTTTAGACTTCGTTGGCAATAATGATTTAATTGCCTTAATTTAATTACATCCGGATACAATGACAACATGGAATGACATCAAATTAAGCACGCAATCAAACGAATCATATTCTTATCGCGTCCTACGCGCTCCGTACTTGACATCCTTGATTTCATAGTACAAGTCTGGTCCTCACATTTTGGACCCGCCTACAATCTCTAACACATCAATTAATAAATGTGTGACAAATTTAAGTACTCTATTTGATCACTACTTACAACACTTAAACTATCATTCTGAAAAGAAAAAATCTTAAGTGTTCGTGAACGTGTAATCTTGAACCGATGACCAGAAATCAAAACATGCAAGCGGCAATATGAGAGCTATCCAAAAATCCCATATAATGTGAGGAGGCTCCTTGTGCGGGGTGGGCACGGGTCTAGCGTTCTTGGTCGACTAAGTTACCATGATTTACCTCCTCACCATCCCTGTCGGGCCAGGGGGTGGGGGCGCCTGGGGTGGGTGATTCCACCTTTGAACCGACAACACTTAAACTATCATTTTGAAAAGAAAATATCTTAAGTTAAAGTTATCCTAAGCTGGTGTATATCAAGTGTACATCATTTTCTCAAAAGCATACAAAGACACCCACTTCTGTGTGAAACAAGTAGTGGATATATGTGTGTGTCTGTGAGAAGATGGTATACATCGAAAAACACTATCTTAAGGTAACCCTAGCAAATTCCTTTAGAAAAGTGTATTCGAGCCTTCGTAGATAGGAGATAAATGATTTTTCCATCAATGAATTTCTAGTTTTTGTGGGATTGGGGATGATAACGAGTCGAGTTTTGGTCGGGTGAAGCTTCTCTATCATCCATTCGTTAACTCCAAATCAATGACTAGTTCATTCATCATGCGTTATTGTGTAACATGCATCACCCGGGGGTAAAACAAGTTATAACTGATGGTATTAGTAATAAATTTTTAATCATTAGTTTCATGAAATGAAAAAGTGATTAGCACATAACACACAAAAAATCTTTAAAAACAAGAGAGTAATGACGTTTATGAGTAATTATAAAAAAAAAAGAAGTTTTTAAGTTACAAACTAATTTTTTAATAAATTAGGACATTAAACAGTTGAACAAACTCATGTGTTCAACAAAATAATTTTTTTTTGAATTTAATATTTTTTTAAAAATAAATATCCATAGACCAAGCGACAGTTGAATAAACTCTCCATCTGCATCCGACCAAAACCATCTTAACCCATTCCCCATCATTTTCTTTTTGGGTTTATTATCTAACATATCAAGTAGAGATTGCCATCTCTAATTGTGATAGCTCTGTGAGAAGCTCAAGCAAACAATCTGTATGTAATGATTCCTTGGGGTGTTGTCTTTTTAAAGGCTAAAAATTAGTTTGACACAAGCTAAAAAATCAAATGTATCAAAAAATTAATGTATTGGTCCATGTTGAGGACACAATACATTTATTCTTTGTGAGGGAGAGATACTAGTATTTCTTATTTAAGGTCTATTAAATGTCCAAAAATTCCAACATAATTATAGAGCCAAGAGAGCATTTAGATTAGCGTTAGCGTTTTGAAAAAGCAAAGCCTTTAACTAGTCATTAAAATATCTTAAATAGGGCTGGTTCCCAGGATATTGATACCCGGGGTACTCCGGTGTCTCGTTTGTAAAATTGACGGCTCCTACCCCCCGGTAAACCCCTCACCCCACCTCGACCCAAAAACACCTCCCGCTCCGATTCAATTGCACCCCCAAGTTAATTTTGACTTTGGAGTCAAATTTAACTCCAAAATCAAAATTAACTTGGGGATGCAATTGAAAGGGGTGGGTGTGTTCTAGTCAAGGCGGGGTAGGAAGATTTACCAGGGACGATTAGGGGGTAAAAATTGTCAATTTTACAAACGAAATACCGAAACACCCCATGTCATCCCATGACATTGATTCCCAATATCATGCGAGGGGATCTTAAATTAGGAAACCAAGACCCATCCAATATCAAAGAGGAAACAAATTTGATTGATGGCAATTTCAATAAAGCAAATGTCATGAAAATGGCAATCTCAAAGTTACACAAAACATTTTCCTATACAAAAAGATGGGCTGCATAATGATAGTGTTAGCAACTTATCTCATCACCAAACCTTTCTATTTCTCCTTTCCCACTCAATAGAAAGAAAGAGCAAAAACAAGAGTAGTCCCATTACATATGCTCAAAGCACAACAGGCTCGACCAAAAGATCAAGCTTGTGATTGCAAGACCGGGGCCCGCCACTTGCAAAATTTACACCGCCCGCCATCGTCTCTTCAGCCGACGCGAATCCTCTCGAGCCAATCGACGCTCTTGCGGGCCTTGTCCATCTCGACGCTCCTCTGCGGCTTCTCGAAGATCTCGACGCTCCTTCGGGACCTCTCGATTTGGTCGAAGGGCATCCTCAGCTTCGAGAACTTCTCGTCCCTCGAGAACTTGAACTCGACGTTCTTCAGCTTCTCGGACGGTTGCTTGTCCGTGCTCGGCCTCGGCTTCTCCCTCCGGGCGTCAGTGCTCTTCCTCGGGCCGTCGTGGTGGAAGTCGGTGCTCTTGCGGGAATTCTCGGGCCGGTCCACGCTCTTCCTCGAGACGTTTCGGTGCGAGAGCGGTTTCTCGATCGTCGACACGAACTTCTTCAGATGTCGGATGTATTCGGGGTATAGTTCGAGGTCGCAGTGGGTCCCACCCTTGATCCATAATGGTTCATATTTCTCTTGGCATAGTTCCCATAGCTGCTTCCCATGGGAACAATCAACCACTTCATCTGAAGTTCCCTGCATTAATTTTAAAAAAAAAAGAAGAATATCTTAGGAACAATCTAAGTAAATATCTTGACTCATATTTGTGATATTAATGAATAACATAAGAGGGGATCATATCACATTTTAATTACTTTTTATGTAAAAAATTACAAGGATGACTTCAGCAAGCAGAAGTCGCCCGTTTTACAGGGAGGAAAAACATATTAAACCCTTGTCTAAATTATCCAAGAGATAGGTATGAACGTTAAAGGGGAAACGACGACATTTGAAGGACTTATTTGACATTTCAAACTTATTTCTTAGAATGACCTTCATACTTACATGAATGACGAGAACGGGACACTTCACCGATGGGATTTTGTCAATATTCTGCAGGAATCACCACATCAAACACGTTTTATGAGTTCTTAGATACATTAAGAATCGAACGAATGTGGACATAGTGCTCGTCCACATTCATTCAACTTTCGACGTATGTAGAAAGTCATGCGGGTAATAGACAGTTACTCAGTATTGAAGAAGAACAGTTGGAGTTTTTACTCCTAATTGTGTTTACCTTGTAGATGTCGAACCAGTATGTCCGTTTCACAGGGTACATGACCCTTAAGCCAGAGAGTATAGGACTGTGCAAGACAACTGCCCTTAGCCGAGGCAAACGAGAAGCAAGATCCACGGTGGGGCCACTTCCAACGGACTGACCATAGAGTATAACATCCTCCTGCTTAGCGCCATAGCTTTCTTCAAGGCACTTGTAAGCAGCTTCTATATCGGCATAAGTGTTTTGTTCGCTCGGCTGCAAAATCAAAATTCATACACACAAAAAAAATCAGAGGATTTGGAAACTTGAGAACGAACGAACGAACGAATGAACAACAAATTGCACTGCCCGGATCTTTTTCCCTTCACCCACTCACCTTCCCCGTCGACTGCCCATAACCAGAGTAGTCATATCTGCATTAGAAAAAAAACAAAAGAAAAGAAAAATTCTATCATGTCTATTTACTCAATAATGTTCTACTATTCACATTTAAGGAAATCACACTTTTCTCACATCCAAAACAAGAAATAGCTATGATGTCTACTTATTCAATATCTAATTCAGCAATCTCGTCGAAGCCAAAGAAAATCGTAAAGCTATTTAGGTATAACATCGAATAGGTTAGTGGAAAATGCTAGTTTAACCCCAGGGATGACACCATCAGAGACATTTACACACACACGGTAATTGTCTTTGAGAGATCATTGTCCGCGTGAAACACTGGCGGTGTCAATCTTGGTGTCAAAGTTAATTAATTGTAGCATGACCCTAGTTTGGCATCTAGTGACTTTTTAAAATCTTATCAGGTCCGTGCTACAGTGCCCTCACCCACGCCCCACGCATGACAATACAGACGATTTTATACCTACACAGACCATGATCATATGTGAACAACAACACAAACTACAGGCATAAAATCGTCTGTATTGTCATGCGTGGGGACGTGAGCAGTGGGTTTTTAGCATTCTCCTTCTCATCATTGATCTTGCATTCAAAACAAAGGATCTAATGTGTGTGAATGCTTGTGAACCAAGAAAAGAAGAAAAGGGTCTTCTTTTCTACTTTTACTCCACTATGAAAGGAAGAAGACAAGCAAATTTAGCTAAAGTGATCCACCCCCCAATCTGCTCTGACCTTTCTGATGATAAATCACCCCAAAAGTCAATAGATCTAAGAAGATGAGCCATAGATTGTCTGGATCACCTACTCTTAAATTCAAAATATACTTTTTCTAGGAAATTAGAAACAAAAAGCTCAAATAAAACAAAACAAAATAGATAAATCATATTGACTAAAAATACATCTTGCCAATCCCTCTGCATCATCAAACTGTTGTAAATCTCAAATTACTTAAAAAAAACAGAAATTTGTCATCTAAAAAAAGCTATTATGGTATGTTTTGGAGCTTGAATTTGAATTTCAAATCCGGATTTTGTTCGAATTCCATATTTGAGAATCTTTAAAAATTTCGATTTGGATTTGAGACAAATTCTTCTAATTCATAACAAAGCTCAACTACAAATCCATATACCTCCTCTTCTCATTTGAAATGCAAGAATTCAAATTTAGGAATTCAAATATTATCTTAAAAAAATTGGAATTGGCCAAATGGATTGCAGCAAAACTGTAGAATCCCAATTGAGGAATACCCATCACAGGAAATGATAAATAAATCATGAAATTCAAATCTGATAGAGAATTTACCCTTTTTTTTACCAAGAAAAGAAACTGAATTTCTGATTGAAAAACTAAAATCTGCCCCAAAAGAAGAGTGAAAATGAGAACTGACCCCAAAAGATTCACCTTGAGGTGAATACTGAGCTGGATGAAGAGCTCATACATCTGCCCGATGTCGGCGGCGTTGCCGTGGGAATAGAGCACCGTGGAGGCGGCCATGGGATACCGGACGTACAGGGCCACGATCTCCGACCCGCGGCGGGTCGGCAGCCGGAGGACGTCGACGTTTTCCCGGTGGGGAAACGGGTCGAGCAGCACCAGCCCAGTCGCATCGTCCGTCACCACCTTGTACGACGGCGGGGTCGGCGGGAAGAAAGCCAGCTTCGCCGCCATTGATGACGTCACCCCACCCATCTCCCCAAAAAAACCCACCTTCCCAAATCTGGAATCGACGCCCAATCTGCACTAATCTGGTGAGAAATCGCTCGCCGGATAAACAAATACCGACAAGGCGGAAAAAGAGAGAGCAGAAGAACTGAGAGTTCAACTGAAAAAGGGTAAGTGTGAATATATGTAAAACGTTTAGAAATGAAATCTGAATATGTGAATAGAAAGGAGTGCAGTATGAAATAGAGGGAGAAGAAGAAGAAGAAGGGAAGTATTTCTACAGTGCCAGTGAGGAGAGAGAGAGAGCTTTTGGAGTGTGGGAAGAGATCAAATAGAAGGAAAAGTTGAGATGATAATTGATGCCAAGCTGTGAAAGATACTCTTTTCTTTCTCCCCCATACTCTTTTCTTTTCTTGCTATTTTAACAAATTTTGGTGTTATGATAATAAGTTAATAACCTAGAAAAAGTGATATGATTAGTAAAATTGATAGTTTCTAGTCATCTATTTAATCTCTCCTAAACTCCTATCTAAACCCCACCCATGCACCCCACCCCAATCCCCTCGAGATCCACATGCCCGCCCCCTTTTATGAGTTGCAAAAAAAAACCATTTCTAAAAAGGTGAAACATATAACGTAATAGTGAGGTGTAAATCACAATATAACGTAGTTTGATTCTTAGGCCAAAGGAGTGGATCACGCCTTCCCTTCCATCATTTCTTGCCAACTAACCGTCACATAGCTTTTCGCTTTCTCATTACATCTCAGGGCACTGGAAATATGTTTGAAGCCCCAGGACTTCAAACCGGGGCTTCAAACTTTCTCTCTCTGCCACGTCAGCTTTAACTTACACCCAAAATTCACTGGAAATGGGTTTGAAGCCTAGAGGCTTTAAACTGGAACTTCAAACCTTCATTTTTCACATTTTTAAATATACATCTTCTAAAATTAAATTAATACAATGTAATTAATTTATTATTTAATTATATTGAAACACGAATAATAAAAAAATACATTCATTAAATAAAAAAAAAAGCTACAATAATAAAAAAAAGATACATTAATAAAAAAAAACTAAGGAAAATTATATTTCTTCTTGATCTCTCATTCTCTCTTATTCTTTGCTCGTAGATCATTCGTCCAATCTCCGACATCGTAGAATGGTCGGTTTCCATGACTTTCATCTCGGCCTCCTGCTCCTTTAGCTTCAACTCCTTCTCCTTTAGCTTCAACCTCTCTTGTTCTCGGAGATTGAACGCCCGAAGTTGTTCAACCATTTCCCGGCCGATTTCGTCGCGGGAAGAAACGGAAACAGAGCCGGACCCTCCCGAACCCGAGGCAATGGATTTTGCCTTCTTTTTTCCGATCGGCCGGGGAATGGGGTCCTTGTCATCGGAATCCGCAACGTTGAAGGGAGGGATTTGATCGGACGAACCGATAGTGTCGTCGACCTCAACCTCGGCGTCGACGGAGGATCTTTTCCGGAACGATCCGCCGTCGGGATTGTTGAGTTGTTGCCACTTCGGGGAACGGCTCAAAATCCTCCAAAGATCGATGGGCACCTTGCCTTGGTGCCCGTCATCTTGATACCGGGCCGTGGCAAGCCGGAGAACATCGGCGTCATTCGTCCCGCTCCTCCGGGACCGGGAGCATTCCTCGTAAACTCCGATAAACTTTCGGACTTTACGGTTGATGTGGCTCCATTTGGAAGTGAGTTGGTCCCGGGTTCAGTAGGAGATGTCCTTGTTCATCGCCGTGAAGAACTTCTCCTCGATATGATCCATCGCATCCTTCGTTTGCTCCGAACCTTTAAAAATGTATAACACAATTTTTTTAGACACGATTAAATATAATATATATAAATAAAAACATAAATATATTAGAAAAGATAAAATTTTTACCAATGATAGGATGCTCGGAGACGTCAACCCAAGCCGACGCCAATAAGCACTCCTCCTCCGGCGTCCACTTTTGGATTGACTGTGCCGCCTCGGTCATCGTGCCTTTGGCTTTGTGGCTTTTCCGGCGTGTACTTTTTTTCGACCCGGTCGGTTCCGGTTGAGTCTCCAGAACCAAATCTCGCTCGACGTACCCCGATTGTTGTCTCGTAGATCGGCGGTTGATCGCCTAACTCTTGGTAATACCACATCGCGGCATCGCTTGGCGCGAGATTGTCGGGAAAGAAGCCGAAGCCGGAAGGATTCATGTTGAAAAAAGAGGGGGTGATTTCGAAATTTAAAATTTGGGAAGAAGAAGATTGAAGAAGAGTGAAGAAGGAAGGTGTGAGAGATTGGGGGGGTTTGAATTTATAAGGAAAAAAAATTTCTTTTTTTTTTTGAGTCCAACGGCTATTATAGCCGTTAAAGGGGGGAGGGGAGGAGAATGACGAAGCGTCATTCCTTTGACGCAGGGCATGTGACGCCCGGGTAACGCCGCTGGGGGGCGGTGTTTAACGCCCCTAATGCCGGTGGGCGTTACACCCATACCCAGTGCTCTCATCCCCTTCTATGAGTGTGGATCATACTCACTATTTTTTTTTTAAATATTTTGTACATCTATGTTAATTAAATTTACTTAAACTTAAAATATAAAATTGATTTCTTATTAATATTAAATTTTAAATTACAATAACAAAAGTGCGAGAAAAAAGTGGATAAAAAAGCGTGATGGATAGCGGAAGGAAACGCGTACTAAAAAAGAACAACTACTTGATAAAAAATATCGCTGCCCATGTTGTCGTTCGTACTTCTAAGCCACTTCCATCTAATTTTACCTTTATTTTTAGAACAACTGTGCGCCTGAGAGGTGGCAAATGTGCACCTTTATTTTCTATGTTTTAAAACTTACAATGTATTTCATTTTTCATTCTGATTTTGAAATCTTACACCAATACCCTATGTTGACAATTTAATTCAATTTTTTAACAGATTGACTAGTTTTTCTATTAATATACCCATCATATCATTTATTTCAACCTATTTTCTTTTCAAATGAATGTAGTTATCTAAGAAATACTAGGTTAAATATCTGAGAAATGCTAAGTGTTATAACCCATCCAAGTTCAAAGACACGAAAAAAAATACTCCTATTCAAATGTCAAGCATGTTGTGTCATTATTTAGATACACAGTGTTAACAGACAGAGAAGGGATTTGTGTTGGATATCAAAACCACGCCAGTCAGGGAAACAAAGTATATTTTGAAAGTCAAAGGATTAACAATACATATTTACTAAACCATATAATATATGAGTAAACTCCCTATATATGTAAACAAATTAAAAACCATTCCTGGCAGTGTAAGTCAGAGTTTTATTTCCTGGCAGTGCAACACGGAGTTCGCTACTCCGTTTAATTTCGAAATAATAAAGGAAACGGAGTAGGCTAGTCCGTTTCCCATGATTTTATTTCTCAGACGGAGTACGCTACTCCGTTCGGATTTAATAATACCCAGACGGAGTAGGTAACTCCGTGTCCCTTCAAATCTCAGATCTACCTATCCACTCCCCTCCCATCCACTCATTTTTTACCTTGGCCACACAGAAAACCCCACGCCGAGAGAGAAGGAAAAGCCTGGCCGAGAGAGAAGGAAATGCCGAGGGAGAGAGAAGTGCGACGAGGGGGAGATCGACGGACCCAACTCGACCGGAGTCAGGTACTCCGTTTTGTCTTTAATTTTTTTTTTTAAATTTGTTTGATTGTTGTTGTACAAGATTTTGAATTTTGTATAAATTTGATTTTGTAAGAAATATATTTAGTCATAGATTGTATGCATAGGTGTTTTTTTTGTTATATTTGTTTTAATGATGTGAAAATGTTGACAAATATATAGTTTAATCTTACAAATTTGATACAAATTTGTATGTATGTATAGGTGGTTACTTCATGATTTTTAATATAATTGTCTTGTTATATTTTTATTAATTGAATATATTCTTATGTTGTAATCTTTGAAGCAAATGGATGTACATCCGGGACCTATTTTACGCAATGTTTTAGTAATTGAAGCGGGAGACCATAGGTGTGATGCGGTTTGGGCCGAAGAAGAATATGCTAAAAAAGTATTAAAGTGTCACAGGACTTGTACTAGTTTGTATGCGATGACTCTTATTGTTAATAGACCGGTTCGTGTGAGTGAGTTTTTACGAGAATACGGATTTTATGGGGTTGAGAAAGTTGGTGGCTTGCAGTTGGACTGGGCTTTGATCACAGCTCTAGTGGAGAGATGGAGGCCCGAGACCCATTCATTCCATCTTTTCTTCGGAGAGGTTGGAATTACTTTGCAGGATGTAGAGGTTTTGCTTGGATTGCCCGTAGATGGCAATCCATTGGCAGGGATGACTGGCTGATCCAGAGATCAGTGGATTCAGATTTGTGAGGACATGATGGGATTTAGGCCTCAAACATCCGACATTACTTCTACTATGATTAAGATGTCTGCCATTGTTCCTAAGGAACTAACAGATCAGAGTTTAGATGTAGATTACTTGCAGCATGCTAGAGCCATTATGTTTAAGTTGTTGGGTGGTAGCCTATTTCCCAACACGACGGGAAATAGGGTTAGTTTGTAAGAAATTTCCCATGTGCGAAGCAATTTCCAAAGCAAGTTTCGAAGTAAGAAACTGAAGAACATGATGTATAAAGCTGGTAAGACCCCTAGTAGAAGTGAGTTTGAGCAGACGCTTCTCCAGATAGCATCCAAAAATCAAGAAGCGTACAACTGGCTTAGGGCTATTCCAAAACACATGTGGGCATTGTCCCATGATGAAGGTGGCTCACGCCATGGTATTACGACAACAAATTCATTAGAAAGCTTCAATCATGTCCTTAAGGGATGTCGTTGTTTGCCTGTCTTTGCCATTGTGAGGTTCACGTATGACAAATTGGTCAAGCTATTTGCTGATAGGCAAACCAATGGATATTTGTGGCAACAATCTGGGTATAATTTTCCAATGAATGTGTGGAAAAAGATCAAGAACAATGAAGAAAATAGGCTTTATTGTCGTGTTGTGCAGCACCACGCACAGCATGGGATATACTCTGTGGTTGTGGATGGGTCCTTCAACAATGGTCACCGCGAGACATTTGCGGTGAATTTAAATGCACAGACATGTACCTGTGGAGATTGGGTAATATATCACATTCCGTGCATTCACGTTCACGCAGTATGTCATCAGTGTAGTGTCACTATGGATCATTTGATTCCTAATGTTTTTTCACTCCAGTCCTACATCAACGCTTATTCGGGAATCCTAATGCCGCTTCCCGATGAGGCCGACTGGCCTACTCCAGGATACGAGATTGTGAGACCAACTGCACAAGCGAGAACACAAACCGGTCGACCAACAAGAACTCGCTACCCGAATAACATGGACTACCGACCACGACGACGTCGCAATGAACAATAGCTCAAATATCCAAGTTTATGTTTTATGATTT